GTTCAGTAATAACATTCAAACTAATCCGAGTATAAATTGTGTGCAAATAAATAAGACAATATACCTGGCGGCCAAGACAAGTCAGTATCACTTTTATTTCTTCTATGAGTTTTCTTATCATCTTGTTTCTTGGGGCTCGGTCTAGAAGTACCGTTGGATACATCTTTGGCGGTCATCAAATCCACATGTTTCAACCTCACTCGTGACTGTTTGAACAGTTTTAAATGTGTTGTCAGCTCTTCTGGAAACCGGGTGGACAATAAGTGGATCCAATCCACACATTTCACTCTGGAATTGAATAGTATTATAGTGAGATACAATGTGTTTTCTATTTACAGAATATCACGCCTTTTATCTACGAAGGGGTAGGCAGGGGTGCACATAACCTCTCACGCGCTTCCCACAACAACACGGGTAAATATTTTAATAGAAAAGCGAATTAACTATTCTGTTCAATCGAATAAAGAACGGATTGCAAAATTGAAAATATACGTCACAGAATAAATATCCAATCGGTGCGCGTTTCTCGTACACCCGTGTGTACAATTGCGCGATGGGCACTCAACTCTCTCGTACACCCATGTGTACGAGAAACACGCGAGAGGTTAATGCCACTGTAATGTAACACCCACTTTTCACTATTTATGTTATCAGTCCCATGTAATAGGGGTGAGTCTATTGCCATATATCGGGCACAATTCCAGACACCGTGCTGCTACTGAGAAGTTTAAAAATTCAGTAATGTTTTGCCCAACCTGTTTTTTTATTCCAAAAAGGTACAAAGAGATACAATAAAACTTGGTCCCCTTTTTTTAAGGGGGGAAAATCATCGAATGACTGCTCCCGCCTGGGTGAGGCGGGAGGGATTGTCAGACTCTTACTGACTAAAACCACCCCGTTCCTTCTCCTGCACGTCGAGCCGGAGCCCCGGTTACCCGTTAGGTTCTCCGCGACAACTTATCAGCTATTGTTACTTTGTTACGAATTAATAAATACACAAAGTATGTCACACAAATATTTGTTTTTAGTCATCATTAAATTAATATACAGTGTTTACATATTAAAAACTGTTTGTTACACTGTTATTGGAACCCATTATCGGAAACATTAATCATTATAGTCAAAAAAATATTTCGAAACCAAGCAAATAAATTAAGCACTCATTGTTTAAATATTACATGTATCCATTGACTGCCGGACGAACTAATAGGTCAATCCTAGAACAGCTCAATATAAAGACTAGACTGTCGACCGTATGTTATCAGCGAATTCTTGGATACTTCGGTCACATTGCCCGCCGCCAGTCAGATAACCTCGACAAATTGGTTGTTGTTGGTAAGGTGGAAAAGGAAAACGACCACGTGGCCGATCACCTAGCCGATGGTGTGACCAAGTTGCCAACTACACTGGACTCTCTGTTACGAAAGCCCTGAGTGAAGCCGAAAACAGGACAAGATGGAGGGAAATAACACAGAGACAAATGAAGACCTTTCAGGAGCACGACCTTCAGAAATGAAGCAAGCGATCGAGAAGAAGATTTATTAGAATAAAACCCAGCTGCACTTCGCACCCACACACTGCTACGTTTCCACTGCAGTATGGAGTGGATCTTAGATATATTTAGTCATAAATAAAAGCTTTTTCAATTAATATAGTCACCTATTAGCTACATTAGCACCAGCAGCCAGCACCAATCGTTTTATAGAATGGTTTGTAAGTTCCTCGTCATTTGTCAGTATCTCATACCACGGACTCACATAATCATTGATGATTATCGTTATAATCTCATTCAGGAACGAATCTACGGTCTCACTTCCCGTGATTCTGTTGTCGTATTTTGGCAAAGGAGTTTCTTTTGTAAATAGTTCCAGTACCTGCAAGAAATTAATTTTAATTGTTTTCCAAATTATAATATTTTAAGAAAAAAATATACTAATTAGACCATTAACTCGTTGAGTACCGTCATTATAGACACAATTATAGAACAATAGGTTGCGGTCACCGGCGACCGCTTGGTGTTTGACAGTTTAAATTAAAACAACAATAAATATTTTAAGTTTGAAAGAATTCAAATATGTTTTTATATAAAAAAGAATGCAATAATATTATGACTATACCTTTGGTACTTGAATAGAAAAGTTTGTCTGTTGTAACGGGTCATCCAGACAATCTAAATCAACTGAGAATATACTTTTACTGTCATATGTAAAGTAAAGAACTGTGACAATCCTGGAAATAAAAAATATCTGCATTAAAACTTGTTCCACTATTTATAGTGGTAAAAATCATGCTCATTATAAAGATAATGGTGCAGAAATAATTAGAAACGTGGCTTTGTTACTAAAAACATAGACCGTGTTAAATTTCCTGTCAAATTTCGCTGAATATAACTTCTCAGAAGGATGCCCTACATACATCAATATTCAACACTTATTATCTAGTTTCCAGAGCGTATATAGCACTCGCCAATAAAAGTATAGACCATATAATAATAACAAACAACGGACTAACAATAATATTATTATTTTAACAAGAAATTACACTTTCTTATCAACTTACCCAGCTAGAAACGAGACGATGAACGCAAGAAACGTTAAATACCACCCAAAACCAAACAATCCAGTAATAATAACAGTAACTAGACCGAACCAACTGAAAATTCTAATAACCATGTTTGAATTTTATATAAAACAACTACAATTTACAATATAATAACAAAATAAAAGTGAAAACAAACTTCAACGCCTCAACTCTTGACGATTTATTTTTGTAAATCTGACATAATCTATCATTAGTCATCTGTCAAAATTCCTTGTGATATACGTTTCGTTCCAAGCATCCAACACGCGAAATAATTGGGCGAAAAATATTATTGATCTATTTAGTATTGAGATTAAAAGAAAAAATAAAGGGATTTATTTCAGTTGTCAGTATCTTAAATAATTGTTTCTTCAATAATCCACCAAATAACTCGTATCGGTTAGTTACTGCTATAAGCCTTTATTGATTCGATCAATGGTCGTTTCCCGAGATGGACAGTATTGTGCTTTTGTAACTCTGTTAAAATGAGTACTCTATTTACTCAAGATCAGTCAAGATTAAATCCTTCTATTTAACAGTAATATTAGAAGTCCAAAGAAAACTTTTGAAGAATATAAAACGAATAAATCTTTGACAATGTAATTAAATTGTTATGATAACCTTGGCCCCAAAAATAACGTAATTAGCGTAGCCGATTATTAAATAAAGGTCTCATACAGCAATCGATAACTTTTTGTTATCAAGACTAGCAGAATGAACCTCTTATTTGTAGGTCAGTTAATCGATTACCTACCCGACATTATGAAGTCTATATTATTATTCATCGCGCTCCCCACTCAAACCAAAAACGATCCAATTTTATTTGAACTTTTATAAGTCATCAGTCATCACAAGATAATAATAGTATGATCGATATACCAATATACTGCACCATGGAGAAGTCTAGCCAAAAAGGCTGATGATGCACTTGTAATTTTAGTGGTGTTTCAGTTCTGATGTCCATGGGCGGTGCTCATCACACTTACCATCAGGTGATCCGTTCACTCAAACATCTTATGTGCAATAAAAAGGCGAATCGAATTGACAGGGGGAACAGACCACAATCTATGCAATAACTAGATTATAACTGGTAACATCATGCTTCTTACTGTCTACTGGGTAAAGAAACAAGATGTGCATAACAGCATTTTGATTTATTGAAATACAACACAATCATATGAACTGTTTATACAGTAGATATAGATAAAATAGCCTTGAGACTATCTAATAATACTAGTACAATAATTTTATTGTCAAACATGTCAAATTAATTATTTGAACATGATGGTACTTTACACAGGAGAAGGGATAATCTTCTCAAATTGTGTAACTGTTTTCGCGTCCAAAATTTTGAAGGAATGAATTTTTAATTTAGGCAGACAAGACCACAGTCAGTGCAGTCTAAATACAAATAAGGTATAATAATAGTTAATTTCAAGACTTATATAGTAGCGAATATCCAGAAAGTGCGTTAACAATTTTATTTATTACTTATCATATTTATTAATATGTGCAGAAAAATACAGTTTTACATTAATTGCCAATTCCTTTGCCAATTATTTTACAACCTCGCAGTCACGTTAAAAATCGTATTAGTTTCGATGCTTCCCAATTTTAAATTACTCACTCGAAATATGACGAGTGTCTAACATTATTTAGAAATATAAATCATAATTATATTGAACACAAAAAAAATGCGAAATTATAATAAACACACTGGCATATGATGTTCTTCATGTTTAAATGTAAAATTATTTGTTTTACTAATTTTGCACTTTACAATTAACAAGTGAAACATTTTCCGAAATTAGAGCTTAAACTAGAATAATGATAAGACTCATTGAGTGACCTAAAATATTTCCAGAACATAAGATAAAACAGATTCGTTACTTCCCAATATTATAACGACAAATTCAGTTGCTAAGTCAGAAAATTAAATGTCAGTCATCGATTTTCAACTTTGTCAACAAGAACTAAGGTTGAAAATCAGAGACGGAGAGTGAGACTTACATTGAAATTAAAATTTTTTGTATCTTTGACAAGCAAAACCCTTCCTTATCTACCTCTTACACAAGGATGTAATTACTATCACATTTTTATAAGAAATTGATTTTTTTAACAATTTTAAGTGTGTTGATTACGGACACTTTTTAATTGACTGTGACATAGTTCTGAAGTAATTATTAAGTTTGATTTTTAAATATATTATAGGCAGAAGCATTACAAGAATAACATTTAGTAAAAGATTTAAAAATAAAAAGTAGAAATTTTAATGACACTTTGGCAACACTTTTTTAATGTTATGGTTCTGTTCGACGCATTTCCTGATAATATTCTATATTTAAATAATTAAAAAATACTTTTGGACAGCAAGATTATAGGTTTTTATATCTTTCTTACCATATATGAATATATTTTCATTGCATACATTTGTTTTTGTTTTCATTTAAATATGGCAATACAGACAAATAGTAGAAGCTTAACGGCTTCAAGTTTATACAATTTATAATTCCTTTAAACATACATTCAGATCTATTAATTAATATACAAATAAATAATATATTAATTTGCTGGATTATACACTTTTTTGTTACCTCTTTCAATGTATTATATTGCAAATTGAAGACGGCATGATATACGGCCGAAATTAATAATCTATCTGAATCCAATATCTGTGAATATGTATTTTTATATTTCATGGGCCGACGTTTGCCGTCAACCGACTGGTGATAAGCGATGATGCGGTCTACGATGGAGCACGTCGTCCCATAAGCAACTTATTCACTCGAGCCTTGAAGACACCCAGTGCCTTTAACCAAACGCCACTTTAGCGCTTGTCTACAAAGAGAGTAGAAAACTAAATGTATGGAGATGACACTGACAACTGTCAAAATTTACGTCAATTCCATATAATTTGGTTTACTATTCTACAAGTAGAAAATCGCTAAATGGCATTTGGTTACAGCTGCAGGTTACAGATCGATTTTTGACAGTAGATGTATAGTTTCTGTCAAAATTCGATCTTAAAGCATAGATTTTAGATCGATACAGGTTATTTATTTCGGCCAATAGTCAGGATCAACATATAATCATAATTTGATTACAAACATAGACAACATGAGACAAAATGTTTATTTTTCACAATAACAATTACATACCAGCTTTCCAACCTCATTCAAAAGGTCAAACATCTTACAAGCCTCATTGCATAAATAGAAACATTAAATAATACAATCGTAATTCAAACTTTGGACCTTCATTCTGAAATGGGACTTATAACCACGACATAAATACCATTATCGTACACAAGGGCTATTCGATAACTTTGCACTTACATTTTATACGTTAATTTGTTAGGCTGTAGAAAATATTATTGCTTTGTCGTATCCTACAACGCTTTGTGTACATTAGTCTAACTAGAGCCATCTAAACTGAAATAAAAATGAACGAAACTCAAGGTTTTTAACTCCAACAGTCCCAATTAAGGACTCAAGTGTCATTGAACCTCGATCAAAAGTTCCTCACCTATTCGCCAGATGGCCATACTGTGCTCTCTAAAACATCTAACATAAAATCATCAACAAATGTTACGAACTTAATAATAACAATCAACATAAACCTTAAATATTAATCAATGTCCATAAATAAATGTAAGTAGTTGAAATAAATTAAAAAATACTTTATTTTCCCCCCTCTTTGCTATTACTCAAAATATACACTCATGGCAGACCCAAGATTAGTTATTCTATAGTTAGTTGTAACATTAATTTCTATACATTATATTACATCATACTCAACAAGAATATCAACAATGGACTCGATAACTTTAACTAAATAAATACATGTAGTACTTACATACAATTGTTTGTATATTACGCATACCTAGGTATATTTATGTAATGCTTACATACACTTTGAGAACTAGGTAACATCCCAGTAGGTAATATTTAGTTGAATACCATGGAGGCAGATCTTGAACCCACTGTGAAATCTTTGTATTGGGAGAAGACACAGAGCTGGAAAGAAAAACACGTAAAATTAGTATTAGTGCGTGCGACAGTCATTATTCCATGACAGAGCAAAAAGTTTTTGACACATAAAACATACGATTGTTTGATATGAAACATGCCTTAAGTCGATGCTATGTCTTCCAATAATTTTTATATCTTTTCCTGTTATTGAATAGTTATTCCATTATTCATAGAGACAATTTTACGAAACACGAATCATTAAGACCATAATATATGTTCCGCATTTAGCGGATTACAATAATTTGCGCTAATTAATTTAGCGGATTTAAGTGTGAGAGAACCATGATTCGGGCCATGAATGGGCCGGCTCAACCGGAGTGACACCACGACCTCACAGAATACCGACGTAAAAAAACGCTTTCGTTCTATTTCCTAAAGGTGAGCGAGGTTACTGGAGGCCCAATTACCCTCCCCAACTCCCCAATCCCTGAATGCCGGTAACGCACTTGTAACACCTCTGGTGTTCCGGGTGACCATAGGCGACGCTGATTGCTCACCATCAGGTGATCCGTCAGCTCGTTTACCGGCTTATTCCATAAAAAAACAATAATAATACTTATCAAATGGTGTAATTATAACGAATTTGTTTTATTAAACATATTTTTTTATTATTGCCATTATTTTATTCAAGGTCTTCCTTGACGCATTCTGCCATTACATTACGTCATTACATTTAAAGAATGACGATAATTATCTGTGTACACCATTAGGAAACAATTAATGATTTCATCAAGTACATAATCATATTTATTTATCAAGTTTGATGACTGATAAACAAATTGATATAACTGCTACCATATAATGAACGAAATTATATTATGACATAAGTGACCAATTTATCATAATTATGGTACTTATCTTAGAAATATCAATAAAATTAGTTATAATCCACAATTTGGCAATTTGATTAATACTCAAACGCTACTCAATTTTAATTATATTACTAGCTAGTATATTTCTGTCACTACAAATTCTTTGTAAAACGACAGAGATGGCACGATATTTAAGTACAATCAAAAATTTAGTAGCCTTTCAGTATTCGGTCGTAAGACGGCCAATTGTTATCAGTACTTGCTTGTCATTTTAACGTCAAAATGATAAACTGATTGTAATGTTTCTCTTCCTAGTGATAACAGAGTTTGGTCAGGTTTAGGTTATGAGCCAACCTGAAGGTCTATGGAAAGTAAATATTTACCATATATTGGTAACATTGATAAGGTTTCACGCAAAGTATGTAGGTACAGGAATAACAACTAATCAAAATGTGTTTGGACTACATAATAATGCTCAAACAATATTTTATCTTTGTTAGATAAAAATAACACTCCATGACATACAGGGAATTTCTTTTTACGTCATAAAGTTATGTGAACGATTTTAATATGTTGATATATCGTACCTAAAATTTGTTTATACAAAAGAAGTCTGTAAACATCGGAAATAAGGTCCATAACGGAGTTTGTTGAGAGCGGTCACCGGTGACCGCTTAATAAATAGTTTTGGTAACAACAGCTTAGTTTTAAAATAGGCTATAATTTATTATAACTATATTCCCAGCTCAAAATTGACCTAGTAACATAGGTTGCATCCATAGAAAATAGCATCACTTCAGCTACCGTGTAGGGTGAAATCAGACTTAAATTAATTGTATGAAGGTGTAATTCACTCAATAACAACAACAACACAATTAACAATACTTTGAAACAAAGCCAACAATTACAAATCTCAAGTATGTACTATAAATCTAGTTGCAAAACAAAGAAAGTTCAATTTACCTTATCCTTAAGTTGTTGACACATATGAAGTGCTGCCGTTAACATAAACAATACATCACTTAGCCAAGGGACAGCACAGTCTGCTTGACATGAGTCAATTCTCATTGTTCCATGAACGGAGCTCAGTTGATACGCAACAAATATAAGCTTGTGCGACTGTATGTAGAATGATATTGCTAAGTCTTCTGGTAGATTAGGAGATAGGGCCTTCTGAAAATAATATTGTTTATAAGGTTTACTTTCATAAAATTTACATACATATATAGGGACAAATTGGTCATTATTTACAAATATGTAGTAGTAAACAAATTTATGATTAGTCCGATGGATAGTATCTTAGCCTAAAGAAGCATTAGAATACAAGAGGTTTTGTTACAATACTATAAAAATTAGGGTTTCTAATATAATAATTATCGTGAGACTACTAAATTAACTAAAAATCGCGGATTACTCACGTGAATATACTGAGAAAAGCTCTACTAGTTTCGAACTACAAAGGGGTTCTTCCTCGTAGCCTCAGGGTAAACTGCGCGACATCGCCGCGACGCACGCTGCTCATGAGTAACCCGAGATTTTTAGTTAAAAGGTAGGTTTATTAATTTGTATATTTTCGGCTTACGTAACTGTTTGACGAGGAACTCGACTAGTTTATAAACATAATAATTAATTTAGTATGTCTCACGAAAGTCTGTTTAATAAGTTAATGCAAAATAAAATGAAATCTTTCTAAAGAAAGACTTAGCACTACTTAACTAAGTTTACTAGTGCCATGGAAAGGCCAATTTTTTATTTTACTCGCTCAATGCTGTATAATACTTTAGGTAGAAGTAATATTTACCATATTTCTACTCTTCATAAGTTCATCAATTGCTTTTTTCTTCGGCAGTACTAAGGCAGTCCGAGCTCGTTGCAGTGAACCGATAAGACATTGGATTATGTGAAGCACTTCTTCTGATGACCTGCAATACACAGAAAAATACAGTAAGAAACACTGCCAATATTCTCCAATGGTAAATAGGTGATGTAAATTAACAAAGAATTTCTGTGCAGCTAGCTAAATTATTCACCTGATTGTGTTCATAAATAAAACAGACATTTTTAAAGCGTTTTCCTCCTAAATCTAGTTAAGTTTCTTTCTGTATTTAATGTTTCTTTGCAATCGAGTTTATACCATAATTTGTATTTTAACACACAGATCATATGCTTATATTATAAATAGGAAATAGCCTAGTTTAATGGTATGAACAGAAAAACGTTTTATTATAACATGATAATGATAAGCTATAGGTATTGTTGTTTATAAATTGTAAATAGGTCATAAAATTAAATGTACTATCACATTAGTCATACGATTCAAAATCATGATTTATGTATGACTTTTGATAACTTTAACTTTAAGAACTGTTAATAAATAAAGAAAAGTATAAAACTGTTTAGTATTTTTTTGATATATATCCGGTATGATAATATTGACAAAGTTTAATGTTTTCAAATTATCTGTTCAGTATGTTATTTCCTAAATAAAAATAGCTACGAAATATCCTTTTACATGCCAATATAACCTTTAAACATAACAAAACATCACACCTTTTATCTCCGAAGGTGTAGGCAGAGGTGCACATTATGCCACTGTACAATATAATACCCACTTTTCACTATTTATGTTATGAGTCCCATGTAGCACCCCGATTAGCCTATTGCCACATACTGGGCTTACTTACTACTACTACTACTAACTTAAAAAGTACCTATACAAATCTCGCAAAGTTTAGTTGGATCTTATCTCATTTAAATACTATACTTCTGAGTTATTCTAGTACAAAATTAACATAACAAATCCTTTAGACTTCGTAAACAATATCTTATTTAGCTGAAATAAATGTATATTACGTAACCTTGAGCTCTTTTGTCATGTATGTTGAGGTCATCTGTATTCATGTGATGTTTTAATGCAAATTATGATAGCTATTTCCTTTTGCACTTAAATAGTACATAGAGATGAGAATATGAGCTATAAATATTGCAGTGAATAAAAATATAGGTCACTTAATAGTTCATGAATCAAGAAGACTTGATTCATGATGAGGTATGGTTGAAAACATTATTTTTTTGTATACACAAAATTGGCTACAACATGGTATCTAATACAAACTGATAATTAAATGAACCACAATGAATCAATTGTTCAAAAACGTATTTAAAACGATGTTAACGTTCACACAGATATTTGAGCAAAAAGTGTTCAATTAAAATGGTTAATTTTGAATGTGTGTCACTAAAAAATACTCTTGATTACACATACCTGAATACATAATGTTTATCCACATTATCAATGTAACCAATTGCCTGTTGTAAATGATTTGCAGCATCCTGTATCTGCTGCAACTTCCATGGCCCATCCTGGTTGATTGATGTACGGCATATTGTGTGCATTTGCCGTAACACTTTGAAACTTATGTCCTGGCAATAGAATACAAAGTTACTATCATGATATTTACTAGTGATTATCATCTAATGAGGTAGTGGTCAATTACATACAGATAATAATACAGCTTTAGCTGATCATATTAATATTAATGATCAATAATGATTCATACTTACAGCATGGGATATGCTATCCCCTGTTAGTGTCACAATACATTTTAACTGTTCAGGTTGTGATGTCAATATGAATTTATCTTGTTTCTGCCCCTCATTTCCATACAACGGCACAGGAAACCTGTGAGCGCATTCCTAAAATACAAATCCTGAATTAAAACCACATCGAATTATTTTATTCATTCCTTTTCCACTAGTTAGTACTTACAACCAAAACTGTGTGAAGCTGGTGTAATATCGCATGCACCTCTTCACGAAGGACCCATTCAAATTCTTCTTTCTAAAACAAATTACATGTTAAAGTTACAAAATACCTCTTATGAATGATTGAAACAAATTGTCCACTCGATGTTAGTTCTACAACGGACGAAAGACCAAGATTGACAAACCAGATTAGCTGCTTCTTCTTTTTCGTTATCACACATTTTAACTGAATTTTAGACGTCTAATAATAAATTATATCCAGTTTATGTCAGCGTTGCGTTTTCAATTCAGGAGAATTTTACAAATCACAAATTGAAGGGGATAGACAGAAATCAGATAGAGGCGCGGGGCAGGGGGGTCAGTTACTATGATTGTTACATTTCCGTTTAGAAATTAATAGAAATTAGTGTTTACAAAATTCTTATACATTTCTGAACGAAAATGAAATAATCGGTATCTAACGGTAAGCAAGAACAAGAAATAATTACATACCTAAAGATAAGACCAATAAATTGACCATTAAGTACATTTTCTAAGATTCCAAGTGAATTATAGAAAATCTATGATCACTATCAGTTATGTCCAGTTATGTCATATATTATATTATTTTATGTGTCACACAAATATAAACTTTAATGTGTAGGAAACACAGTAACTTTTGCCATTCTTTTGAATAAAAATTTCATTTGTTATTCGAGTGAATTTCGTTTTTTTTTCGTTATTAATAAGATCCACACTGAAACATCCTAAATTACACTGCTAAATTACAACAGATCATAGTCAACAGACATCGAGTTATGTTCCTTGAATACGATAGATATAATATAATTAATATTACAATGATTAATTCAACAGTTAGAAAATAATATTACATTAATTTAATGTAATGAGAAAATATTATAAGTAGCGATTCTATGTCCAATACTAGCTGTAATGTTATATAGTGGCCACATAAAATAGAAATATAATCAAAGAGCTGCCAATTATGTTTACGGTGAGATGTCAGAATTTTGAAATATAATTTTTAACGTAATAATAATAAAATCCGTTTAAAAAGCCTTTATTTGAAGAACTATAATATAAAATGATTTTCCCAAAGGATCTAAAACGATATTACGAGCTTGTTGAAAAAGAGTGTCGTGAAGCTGGAATAATTGCCGGGTAATTTGATTTTTATGCATTTCTTATTGTACTATGGAATACGTAGGTAATGGCTAGGTACTATATTTGTTATCTAACCTTGGATTTGTCTGCATGCTCAAAGAATAGAAGGTACCTAGACTAAATTAGGACCCTTTTCACCTGCACGTTTTCTTTCTTTCTTTTCCAGAAAATCTGGTCGACATATGAAATTTCCTTACACTCTATCAGCCAAAATAGCTCAGTATCCTGTATTCTTCTACATGAAAAATAATTGGATTTGGATGTATTGGCCTGTGGGCTGTTTCGGAAGCTTTTTTGTATTCTTTAAAATCCATAGATTGGTGAATTCTAAATCAAATAAAAAGAATTGGGCAGAAATTAAGAAAAAGAATGCTGCGAAGGAGCATCATTAATATTTATGTTTTTACAAATTATTTGGATCTGAAACATAAAATTGTGTTGTTTTGCCAACAGACTATGTGCAATTGTTTACTAATGATTGAATAATATATTTACATTTATATGTCATTCATACATTTAATTTTTTTAAAACATCGCGCGACATTTTTCTCTTCCCAGCCATTGTGCCAATCCTGCAGCTAGCACTTTCCCTATACTTTTTTTTTTAAACGTTGCCCCACACTAGGATTTTCTCCTGTGTCGTGGTTGCGATTACAAACATACAAGTTCACATACACAATTACACCCAGACCCGAAACAACAATTTGTGGAATCACACAAAGTGTTGTTCCGTGCGGAAATCGAACCCGCGACACTTTGCACGGCAGCCGGTTGCCCATCCACCGCACCAACCGTGCAGTCATATACTTACTGTATAGTAAAGAGTATCTTTAGTTAACACTTTCATATTATTATAGGTACAATGGCTTTTTTTTATCTACCGGCCCGGTAAATCAACCTAGTCAGAACCTAGAAGTTCGATTATTGGACAGCAGTTTCACATTTTCAATCTATATTTTTGTGTGCTATATTTTTTTTCTTCCACGTTTCTACCACGTTATTTAGAAATGTAGCCAAAAATCATGTATTCCGGGTAACAAAAAGCCTATAACCGTAGCTTGAAAAGTTGAAATCAAATGATATAATTTTTGGTTTTCATCGGTGTAGCTGAAATGTCAGTATTGTATTGTACTATTGTCAGCGTCAATGTCACTGTCAAACTAAAATATTATTTTGTTGTTGTGTCCGTGATTCCGTATTGAATTTTTTAATTTCAAAACATATTTTATGGAATCACAATGACTGTGAATTTGTAATTATTATAAATTGTGTCGTTATTATAGACTGAATTTAGTAAATAGCCATTATGTGGGTTAAACCTCAAGAAATTTTCATAAAAACTGCGCTTTGGTAATTATGTTTACTATGGCCGCTTATCATTAGTAATAAACTTGATTGTGAAATTGTGTTAATATTATTGTCCTATCCTTAGGGATTCCGACGAAACGACTTTGTACTTTGTCCTACAGAGAAGGAAAGGGCATGGGAAATCGAAAGGATTCTCCTCGCTTCTTGTGGGTACTTTAGACAGCGTTCGAGATACAAAACCAGCGCCCTATAGAATTTTACATCAGACACCAAACTCAGAAGTGTATTATGGTAATCCACACTTATTATAAGATTCAATTTTTCCTTTAAATAAAAAAAAACTTGACTCATTTCTTATCAATCTAACTTTGATTAGGGTTTGAATAACTAGATATTAAATAATTATTGGGTTTGATTTCGTCATTGAAAGTTGATTTTTGGCTTTAGTTTTAAAGCCAAGATTAGGATTATAGAAGATAATACAATATCTGCATTGAGAACAGAAAGGCAAACACCTAGTTGGCAATGCTTTAGAATAAAAAATAAGAAAAGATTTCTGAATGTAATTAGTTTTGTGATACGAAATTTCTTATAGGAATAGAATTAGAATATGCAATTTTAATATAGAAGTCTTGAAACTTGACAAAATTATATGCATATATTTTTGATACTATGACTCATACTAATTACCTAAAGAATGTGGTAACAATGTATCATAATAATATTTTTCAATTTATGTTTAGATCTATAGATGGTCTATCAATTAGTACTGAAGTGTCAGTCAAGGACATTTACAATATTAATATTTCATATGCTACTCCAGGAAACATTGGTAATAAAAATATGTTGCATCTTACTTGGATTCTACGTCTTATACTACATCTTACATATTCTTAGAAAAACGACTAGGATCCTGTACATATAAACGTAAAATTGATCCCCAATTTTTGAAACTGACAGTTTTTAACCATATTTTTTGTTAATAAATTGAACAATGACCAGACAACCTAATAAGTCACAAACAATGTTACTACTATATATACCAATAAGTTACACGTGGCAGTGATCAGTAGATCACTGTCAAGTGTAACTTATTGGTATAAGAGCCTATGTCTAGGACCAGTGTACACCCTCTTTCCTCACCCGGGCGGGAAAAGTGATTAAATGATTTTCCCCCCTCAAAATAAAAGCAGCAGTGTACTTGTCTTATGGCTGTGATCTTTACATATAAATAAAAATGAATTTCAGTTCGTTAGCCTCTCTAATACTCAAGAACGGTTGAACCGATTTAGCTAATGTTGGTTTTGAAATGTTTGTGGAAGTCCAGGGAAGGTTCAAAGGTGATACAAAGTTTGTGGGTCAGCTAGCGATAAACAAAATTGTATTATTATCCTTTTCAGTATTATTATTTTTTACAGTAATAGCTACAGCACTGACTGAACAAGAAATAAGACAAGATTGGCAATGGTTATTTGACAATGTATGCCCGACTCTACATTCATTTGATACAGAAGAAGAAGTGACTGAGTTTGTCTGTTGCAAAATTAATTCTATTCTTGCAACGGAGCAAGAGATTTTCACTGAAGGTATGGTTATCATACTCTAGTTTAATGAATTTTCTATATTTTTACAATTACAAATAGTTTTTTTTTACAATTTTAAAAATGGAAGATCCTTTTATATCTATGACCAAAGTGTAGTGTAGCATGTGGTTTTTTTTTAAATTGTTACGAAGTGTATGTAGGGTAACCACTTGGCTGCCAAGATTTTCTATCATTATAATTTATCATTTACCAATTAAGATATATTTATGCAAATATTTAAAACTGCATTTGTGGTAATGATGTTTGTTTATTTAATGTACTTAAAGTACTAATAGTGACCTTATTAGTTGTTTCTCCAGTATTCATTACTTGTTCCATCAGAATTTAGTATAGTGCTGCTTAAATTCCAAGGCAGAAGCGTTCCCATTTAAAATGTTTAGACAATTTAGTGGTAGACAATTAAATACAATCTGTGAGTGTTTTAATAATAAATATTGTACCATTACAATTATGTAGTAAAAAAATAATAATAGTAAATTAATTTTTGTTCTCTTTTTCTTAGATGAAGACTCGGTCACATACAAGAATGTGGACTACGAGTTTCACGAAAGGTTCCGTATGCCCAAAGATGAGAAACTGGTCTGCTATTACTCTTGTAGGTAAGTAATACTTCTATTGTTACTTTTTACAATACTAATTTCAATTAACAACATTTTAAATTGATTGTATAGTGAAAAACACGTCAACTTATTCCATTTTGTCATTGGATTTTCGACTTTATATCAAAACGATAAAGTTGAGAATCTAATAAAGAAATTTGACAGGCCAGTTGGTGTAGGTACTGGCCTAACAACAAACTATTTTACAAGTGATTCATACAATGCACTAACACAATTTTAGTGCAACAGACAATGACTAAATCTGAAGTTAATTTTATGATATATGCCAGGCTAATGTTTTGCGGTCAATTATATTGCGATGCTATCTAAATAATCATTGCATTTTTTTGTGATCTCATTATAATATTGAAGTTATAAAAACAAAAGTGGTTTTGGTTTGTTTTGTTATAAACAAGTTTTATGAATTTTGGCACTAAGATTTTAAGTGTGGGAGAGCCATGCTTCGGCACGTATGGGCCGGCTCGACCGGAGTAATACCACGGCCTCACAGAAAACCGACGTGAAGCAACGCTTTCGTTGTGTTTCGTCGTGTGAATGAGGTTACCGGAAGCCCAATTACCCTCCCCTTCCCCAATCTCCCCAATTCCTGAATCCCCAACGATCCTCAAACTCTTAATCCCCAAAAGGCCGATAACGCACTTGTAACGCCTCTGGTGTTCCAGGTATCCAGGTATCCATCAGGTGATCCGTCTGCTCGTTTACCGGCTTATGCCATAAAAAAAAGATATCTCTTATTGTTCTCTGGAGATGACCATAATATTCCTTGTCAACAAAATAAAGAGGCAAAAACATCTAATCTTAACTTAAATGGTAGTTGAATGCACTATCAACACGTCCCTGTGTCATATGTATCTTTGGTTAATCTGTAGTGTATTTATTTAATATATATTATATCTATGGGCATACGCACTCCATCGTAGGCCGCATCATCGCTTACCACCAAGCGAGATAGTGGCCAAACGTCGCCCCATCAAATATATTTTAAAAAAGATGTTTCATAACCCTAGAATGGGCGCGCTATGAGCATTTGCCGCCTGCGTACGAAAAAACGTTAATAACTATTACAAACAACAGCTCGATAGGCTTACAGGCTGCTTTTTACTAGCTGCCTCCAGACTCGCTAGCAATGCGTGCTGAAAGGTTTCATGCTGTAAATGCGCTGTGGACAAATTGAGAAGAAGTTTGTACCACCACACCGCGCCGACATACGTTTCACAAAAAGGCGCACCTACACTAGGATTAAGGTTCTCTTTTCTTTAAAAATTTCTAAAACTAAATGTTTATTTCAGTTACTGGAAGGGAAAGATGCCCCGACAAGGTTGGATGTACCTCTCAGTGCACTACATGTGCTTCTACTCCTACATATTTGGACGAAAGACCTCCATAAAGATCCGTTGGGCAGACGTCACAGAATTAGCCAAAACGAACAGTCTCCTATTCCCGGATTCCATAAAAGTGGTGACCAGGGACGGGGAACATTACTTCACACTATTTCTGAGGAAAAATGAAACATTTGCTTTGATGCAGCAGTTGGCCAATATAGCTATGAAACAGTAAGTACTTTGTTAGTTGTTAAATATGATTAGTAAGCATGAAGATAGAGATTAATGTATGTACCTACGTAGGTAACTCGAATCCATAACTAGGTTACTATAAGCGGCGTGACGACATAATTTCATCCTTAAAGGCAATTTATCAATATCGTCTATATTTTACCTACAAACTAGTTTATGAACAATAAACCTTTTTTTTTCGAGGGGGGAGATCATCCAATGACTTCTCTCTCCTACAAGTGACTCCTACTGACTAAAAACTACCCCGTTCGTACTCCTGCTTTGGACCGAACCCTCAGTAACCTACTTCGTCAATACATATACCTACTTTGTCAATACATTCTTGGGCTCAACATATCATAAATTGGGCATTTTAAATACGCCATCGATAGCGAATCAATTACGTCATGATGTTTGGTTTTCCGCAATAGAAATTCAATATGTAGTAGGTAATGCCATGCTATTTGTAGAACTTAATTTTTATCATCCCGTTTGATCTAGTCATCTAGTGATTCTTACATAAAAGAGCTTTGCGTAATTACTGGATTCTGTTTTTTTAATATTCTCAGTAGTTTTTTAAGTAGTTTGGATTTCGTATTATTCAAGATTTTTTGTATTATGACTTTTGTGAGACGTACTAAATAAATTATTATGTTTTCTGTTTACTCACGTGATAATTTGACGAGTCTAGATTTGACGAAACTAGTCGAGTTCCTCGTCAAATTATTACGTGAGTAAGCCGAAAACATAATAATTTATTCAAGATCTTTTATAAAACATAGTGAAAAGGGCTCGCAAAATGGTATTTCTTTGGCCTTCAGGCTCGCAAAGTAAAAAACATGATGTTATGCATAAAATTAGTAGCCATTTAGTGTTCAATGTAATGTATTGCCAGACGATGAGACGGTGACACATAAGACTATAATTATCGATGAAAATTGACCTCTAACAATGCACAATAAAGCTCATTTTACTCCGAGTGTAACGATTTTCGTCTATACAAAGAGAGTATTGAATAGTCCACCTTTGCCGCAAGTCTCAAGAGGGCAATAGACTTGACATTCAGTTTCAAGGGCAAATAGAGGACGAATTTAACCTTAATTAAGCTTAAGTGCTTGGTAGTTAGTACCTAAATGCTGACATATTACGATGTGTAGCCATGCACTGCGAGTCGGATTAAGATAAGCTGGTTCGTTTGAAGAGTTACTCTTTGCTGAAGTGATTTACACTCGTACTTAGTGTATGACGTGTGCATTACGTTGTAGGTACTATAAGGTACTAAGGCACATTTTCAAACAGTCTCTCGTTGTCTCTAGTCTGTCAGATTGTGATGGACTCAGACACTACTGAACGAAAGAATCAATGCGAATGCCACTGGTAGATAGAATAATAGTTTTGTATGCGGAAGGTATATAAAAGCTGATATCCTATTGGATTTGATCTTTGGACATGGATCTGTAGACTAATGTATTTTAGGTTTTTTTTTCGCATTATCTATTAATTTGTAATTGATACTATTGCGGTATCAATGTAGTTATCACTAGGTCATAGGGCAACAACATACAAAGCTAAATACCTATACCTACCTATAAATAAGCAAAATCATTTACTGCCACTTTATGTGTAGGTAACTAGTGACCCGCCCCGGCTTCACACGGGTGGAATATGCATGTATTATACAAATAAACCTCTCTTAAGAATCACTCTATCTATTAAAAAAACCGCATCAAAATCCGTTGCGTAGTTTTAAAGATCTAAGCATACATAGGGACAGATAGACGGGGGATAGCGACTTTGTTTTATACTATGTAGTGATGCGGCAATGCGGGCTTATTTGCAAACATAGGACATAAATGTAGACTCGATTGGTCTCTCCCTCCGGCCAAGCAACTGAATTTTTACTGAAAATTGGTATGCCAATAGTACGTTGTCCGATTTAAGGACCAAAGGACCCACAGGACCAAAGAGTCATTGGACCAAAGTAGCTTCTGTTCTTTATAATATATGATGTTCTGTGTCTTTGACTTTACAAAATGTACATGGATATAATTAGTGTAAAATACTAATATAAATGTTCGTGAATTTTGTAGATAAGATGAAAATAAAACCGATCGTCTGTTTGTCAGTCAGCTGTTATCAATAACCTGATACTACAGCGGTTTAATTTTATTGATTAGTTCGTTTTGGTATTTATTGTTGTCCATTATGTAAAAATATTTATATAAATATATACTTACATGGCATGTGAGAAACTAATCTTTATAAGGAATAGTTGTAATTGTGAGATAGTAGATCAATTAATCTACTTAATTTTCCTTCTCTTTATTTAATCAGACAATTTGGAATTACCTATAGATTCTGATTTATATATTAATGCATATGCACTCATACTTTTTTAAGAAACAACACAAAAGATTATTTTATTATATTATTAAGCCAAGGATACATACATACATTAGGGGGCAATGGTAACATCGCGCAACACCTATCTATCTTTAAAAAAACGTTGCCCCACACTAGGATTTTCTCCTGTGTCGTGGGTGCGTTTATAAACATACAAGTTCACATACACTTGACACCCAGACCCGGAACAACAATCTGTTGATCACACAAATAGTTGTTCGGTGCAGGCCCAATTACCCTCCCTTTCCCCAATCTCCCCAATCCTTGAATTCCCAACGATCCTCAAACTCCTAATCCCCAAAAGGCCGGTAACGCACTTGTAACGCCTCTGGTGTTCCAGGTGTCCATGGGCGACGCCGATTGCTTACCATCAGGTGATCCGTCTGCTCGTTTACCGGGCTTATGGCATAAAAAAAAGGAATCGAACCCGCGACCCGTTGCGGGGAAGCCAGTTGCCCAACCACCTTGCCTTGTGAAACAAAACTTCGTGATGTCGCCAGATATGTCTGAAAAAGTTTCCAGATGTCGCACGATATGTTGCCATTACAAGTCGTGGCCGTGGCACATTTGTCCCCTAGTGTATCCTTACCTTTATGATACCAATCTATTATGAAATATAATAATACTTGAAATTGAAATCCAAACCTTGGAACATAGACGCGTAGAACCTAACAGGTTACCGGGGCTCCGGCTCGACGTGCAGGAGAGGGAATGGGGTGGTTTTAGTCAGTAAGAGTCTGACACTCCCTTCCGCCTCACCCAGGCGGGTTAAGTCATTCGATGATTTTCCCCCCTTAAAAAGAAAACCTTGGAACAATTCATTCAATTAAAATAATCTTTACCTATTTTTACAGACTTATCGACGACAAGTCAGGATCCTTCAACATTGACAAGGATCTTCTGACGAAACTCAGCAAAAACGTACCGAAGAAACCATCGTTCTTGAAAAGAGATTTAGATGCAAGAAAGCAGTCTAACCTCTTCACTTTAAGGTTCAGATTGCCACAAAACGAAAAATTGGACGGCACGGAAGAATGTACCTTATGGACTCCTTATAATAAGAGACACAATTGGGGAAGGTTGTACCTATCGCAGAACTTCATTTGTTTTGAAAGTCGGGTAAGTAAAGTTGTCTTAAGATTATCGATATTATGTCGGCAATAGTCTTCTTTACCTAACATAACATAACATCACGCCTTTTTATCCCCGAAGGGGTAGGCAGAGGTGCACATTATGCCACTGTACAATGTAACACCCACTTTTCCCTATTTATGTTATGAGTCCCATGTAATAGGGGGTGAGCCTATTGCCATATACCGGGCACATTTCCAAATTCCATGCTACTTCTGAGATTTTTAAAAACCTAGTAATACTTTGCCCGACTCAGGAATCGAACCCAAGACCCCTTGCCTGGCAGTCGCACTTGCGACCACTCGGCCACTCAGGCAGTCTTCTTTAATATTCTTTTAGCCCTTATACTCAATACTTTATTGCATTCCATAATGTATTTTACAACAGTTTGCATTGTTACAAGGTACAGAAACAATTATGGACCCTGTCGGCCACAGCAAAAGTAGTTTTTTATAGAGGGGAATATAGAATTATCCCGAGTTCCTTAGCATCATCGGTACAATTATGTTTCTTAACCAAGCTGTCTTATCAGAGGTAATCTTATAACAAATTCCTTTTTTTAAGTATCATTCTTTATTCCATCTGTTCATATTTTCTTTTGTCATTCTCTATGGTCCTTGAAATTTAGAAGGGATGCTTCTTAATTTAAATTCAACACGTTCTTCGTCTAACCCTGCTTACCAGTGGAGTTTATGCCCCCCCTCCTCTTGTGTGAGTGGTCCAATGTGCGACTGCTAGGCAAGGGGTCTCGGATTCGGTACCCAGGTGGGGCAAAGTAATACTGGGTTTTTAAAATTCTTAGTAGTAGCACGGACTCTGGAATTGTGCCTGGTATATGGCAACAGGCTCACCCTCTATTACATGGGACTCATAACATATAAAGTGAAAAGTGGGTGTTATATAGTACAGTGGCATAATGTGCACCTCTGCCTACCCCTTCGGGTATAAAAGGCGTGATGTTATGTTATGTTTAAAAAAAACTACAAAACACTTACAGAGTATCATAATACTCTCAAGCTGAAAAAATCTTTGGACCACTGTAAACAGGCCTACTGTACGTAATTAGCAGGATTAAGATTAAATAGAAGACTTTTTATTCTGATAATGGCTTTTTTACATATTATTTCAGACTGGCACTAGTTAAGTAAACATTGTGATAAAAAGAGTATTTTAATGCCCTTTATTAGTGTTATAGATTGTGTACTACGCCTACATGATATAGAGGACAATACTCTATTTTAGAGTACGGTTGGCAACCCTATGTATAGACATCACCATAAAATAAATAGAATCTGTCTAATGTCCAAATAGTAGTTTTAAACTACAATCTTAAGTCGCGCTTAAGTCTATACTTTCTACTACTACAAATTCTTTGTAAAATGACAGAGATGGCACGATATTTAAAAGTACTACTTAAAAAGTGTTAAAATTGAGTAGTCTTTCAGTATTTGGGCGTAAGATTCTGAACGTAAAATTGCACCACCACCACTGCGCTGTAGGCTCAAGCTTTTGATAAATATCAAGAAAGTATCCAATTAACACGTTAACCGACGCGTAAGTCACCGGTGACCTACGTTAGCGGAGGATTTGCCTTCAGCAGTTTTCTGTCGGCAGTCAAAGGCTTAAAAAAACTTTAAAATCAAATTCAAATAGATGGCTAAATTTTTTTTTTTATTATGCTTCTAAATGGTAATGGTACATGTATCTACCCATATTTGGGAGATATAAATTGGATAGGACAATTATTGTCGTAGCTGGTATTATTTTGCTCTGTGTAATAAACCACAAGCCGCACGCACACATGCAAGAAATTTTGGAACGTTATTTTTGTTGCTGTTGTATGGTGACGCTCTATCTAGACATTGTATTATATCGTACCTCCGGTGCTATACCGTCACTTATGTATTGCGGGGGCCCGCGCGCAACTGAACAATGAAACGTTGTTTTTTCTAGTGCCGCATGCCGTCCAGATTAGCGCCAAAACCGTAACGACAGTAATGCCCTCACAATGTCAGTTTGCTTACTACACAAATGACAATAACGCACCAAGTAAAGAGGTGAATTTGGAGTATTCTTTCATAATCAGTTAAGTTTTGACAAAAATTGCATAAGTAACGATATTGCACTGTAGGTACGATATTCAAAGGCTCAAGCTATGATACAAAGCAAACAATAATAGTTAAGGCATTTAACAGACGTTGACTCTATTTATTATGCATTTAAAAGTAAAATATGATATGATATTTAATCTTATCTGTGTTTACTTTAAGTAACGGTTTTTGCATAACATTCTTTGATCATTATTTTGTTCAAAATATTGGTTAGTAGAGGAAAATTTGTTTCGGTTATTGTATGTATACCTACTTTTTTACATTTGTCATATGCATTCGGTTTTAGCGGTTTAATGGAATAATTACATTAAATAATAACCTTTTTTGGACAGTTATTTTGTCTTAAATATAAAACTATTTAAATGTCCATCCATCATGAATACGGTAGTTGAGAGGTTGTCAAATTCATTACTTTTATTGAAATTTCAAAAACGATACTTTTCTGTGAATTTTGTATTATGACGTCATCGTATATCTGCGTCAAACAGCATACTTATTTCCAGAAAAATCCAAAAGTAGGTAAATTGTCAAATCAATGGATGAGAGTATGATTATTTTTTAATTATTTATTGCATTGAAAAGTTGAAACAATTTATTTTAAACCCAAGAAACTAGCCAATTGTAATGAGTTCCAGGTTTGAAATTTTATCTCAGTATTTCTTTCTTCTTTTGACTTCTTCATGACATTCTTTAATGACTTCCATATTTAAAATTTGTTACTGCAGCGCACCTGTGTTCACGGTTAATCTATGTAATGTAAATATGTACGTACTGTGAAAAAACATAATTATATTGTATGTTATCCTTGCATTTATATGCAAGGACACTGCAAAGCAACTGCAACAAATTTAATAAATTGGATAATTTTCTTTGGTAAACGAATATAAAAATAAGTTAAAGAAATAAATATAAAAGATCAATCTTCACCAGGCATCTGCCTTATATACCTAAAGAAAATAAAGTAGGTCAGATAATCAATTACTTTTTAATTACATAACAACAAGGGAATCGCTACATGTTATTAAACAAAACAGCTCTTTGTCTGTCTCTATGTATGCTTAGATGTTTGAAACTACGCAACTGATTTTGATGCATTTTTTTAATGGATTAAGTGATTTAAGAGGAAGGTTTATATAGCTAAATGTATTTATTTATAATGCAATGGAAATCCTCATGGACTTCCCACGACGGGGCAAGGGAGGGGGGAGGGGGGGGTGCCGATCTCTTACTGGCTAAAACTATCAATGTGTTCCTTCTCTGTCTGTGGCCCTGACCTGTGTTGCCCTTGCAGGTTCACCGCACCTGACAAGGCTCGACCTACCGCTATGCTTGCGGCAGGTCTTGCCAAATATCAAGTACCCACAGACCAATATAATATAGTAGAAAAACACTAATGACCATGCGAAACCGGGGCGGGTGGCGCTAGTAACTACAATACTATATTTCAAATAATTAGTTATTTCTTGATAACATAGCAACAGGGGAATCCTGAATCTTCCTTTGTTTATGAAATTACACATTTACAATAGCAGATACATAAATACAGATAATGACATTCAGTCATTCTGTAACGTAATAATAGATAGATTAAGTACAATTGCATATATACATAATTATTATTATGCAATTATTCGTCTTCAACATACACAAGTGTCGCACAAATGTAGACATTATGCTAAAGAAATAAGGATTATTATTATACAATTGGTCTTCATTCTTCAATAGTTAGAAGTGGGAGGTAAATCTAGACCTTATGCTAAAGGAATAAGGATTATTTACTCAAATGTAAATAGTAAGTTTATTAATTGTACTGGGTTCGTTATCATTACTGTTCTGAGTCAGTCTTGTTTACATAACCTTTGTTTTGGTATTTAGCTCGCTTTTCTTGTATATTTAATGTTTTTATTAAGTTTATTCAAATCTTATCTTGGTCGGAAACTCCTTGATAGGTATGTCTTGGACGATTTAATCTAGATTTTGAGTAATTTTAGTATTCAATGTATGCCATCTCCTCTTTACAAACCAACGAGGTACTGTTCGGTTAATACTGCGTTTAAAAATGGAACGCCAACACAAACAACAGAAGACATAATTTAATTATTATGTTTTCGGCTTACTCACGTAATTATTTGACGAGGAACTCGACTAGTTTCGAGCCATGCTAATAGAGTAGGCCGAAAAACATAATAACAGGATATGAAAATTAAAAATCTAATTAGTCCGTCAGTTAGGTAATGAAAAAATATTAGATACGTATTTTTTATTTTGTCGTATAAGAAAGAAATACTTAGATAAAACGAATCAAACTTTAGGAGTAGGAGGTAGCTACGTCATTTTAGAGTATAAATCGTACTCAAAAGTGACGTCATGCGATATTTCAAATCAATATATCTTTGAAACTATTCGTTTCCGTAAGAAAATAAAAGATACGTGTCTAATGTTTTTAAATAATCTACAAGACGGCCGTGGAGAACCTAACGGGTTATCGGGGCTCTGGCTCGAAGTGCATGAGTAGGAACGGGGTGGATTTTAGTCAGTAAGAGTCTGACACTCCCTCCGGCCTCACCCAGGCGGGAGAAGTCATACGACGATTTTTCCCCTTATAAAAAAGACGGACATTAAAATAAAAATTAGTCATCTACCCTATTAATTTAGAATCTCTCACGAAAGTTATAATATAAAAACAGAAGACATAATTTAATTTTGCGTTGATTATTTTGTCCTGTTCGCTATCTGCCTTAAGTTCCGAACCGATAAGATCACTAGCTCAGTTGAAGTAGGAAAGAATCGAACTCAGTTGATGTATCTCTTACAGTTTTTCATTTCTTTCTAGGTCCGCAATCTAGTCCGTCTTAATATACCTCTCCGCAATGTCCATCAAGTCGAGCGGGCGGACTCTGGTGGAACTGGCAGCTCCTCGGGAGACTCCGGGAGCATCCTCATCACCACGGCACACCACACCAGCTTCTTATTCGGAAATATCTCAGACAGGGACTTCTTAGTCCATAAGATATCCGAACTCCTTGCTAAACTGCCAAAGTAAGTTCTTGTTCAGTTATCTGCATGTTGAACTAACTAAGTGAAATGTATCTGGATTTAATTAATCTGGGTTCTTTTTTTCTAGAATGTGAGTATGAATTCTATTTTCTCTGCCTATATGCTTCTGTTTTAATGATTCATAATACGACTAATATCTTAAACCTCATCAACAAAAACATTTATTTTACCATTGCATAATTAAAGTGCTCTAATCATGTTATGTGATCTCTTTTCAGCCGTCTTTGCATTTTGTCTTTAACAGGGAGCTTCTAACCCAGCATGTTCCAGAATCTGCTAACATCGGTTTTCAACTTTGGGATTTTAATGTTAAGGTTCAGTTTTCCATTTACTAATTCAAATGCGTGAATATGCAGTGATGTGTACAGGGAGAAGGCGACCAAGGTGCTGGCGCAGTCTGAAGTCGAAGGTTGGACTCCGCAGCCGCCTCTGATGACACTCTTCAGGACTCACCAAACGTCACCTATAAAGCAAATTCAGCAAAAGAAGGTTAGTAAACTCTCTAGATGTTTGATAACTTTTCTTTAAAAATATAAAGGTCAATTAGCGTCAAATTCTTGCGTGACTTGCGCAAAAGTTTGCGCACTACTTTTGATAAGTCAGTATATTAGCAACCTGCATTAATCAATTAATGTTTCAAATATTGTTAATTAATATAAATATAAAGGCAATATGAATTTCTTAGGAAAAACAATGGGAGGATCACATGGCAGAAGTAGGCCGCGGCGTCAGTATGTACCAAACAACGGAAGGGAGTGAACTAGTCGTGAATGGCATCCCAGAGCTCTTAAGAGGAGAACTATGGAGCGTCTTCTCAGGCTCCATTCTCCAGAAGGCTCAGAACAAAGGATTGTATGAACGACTAGTGAACAAAGCTCTTTCTACAAAGACCCAAGCTAATGATGAAATTGAAAGGGACTTGCATCGGTCTTTGCCTGAACACAGAGCCTTCCAAAATGATGTTGGTAAGTCGTAATTTTATTTTTGGAATATAAAACTTGCATAAATTCCACTGTAATATTCTATATCGATTATTTCACTATCTTTTCAGGAATCTCAGCACTACGCCGTGTCTTATGCGCTTACGCGTTAAAAAACCCACAAATAGGGTACTGTCAAGCGATGAACATTGTTGCTTCCGTACTACTAATATACTGCCCCGAAGAACAGGCGTTTTGGCTTCTAGCGACCATCTGTGAAACCTTATTACCCGATTACTACAATACTAGGGTAGTTGGTGCTTTGGTAAGTTTATTTATGGTAATTTATTTTTAAAACTTAGTCGTAACCGTATCGTGTGTTAAATATTTATCTCTTCAATGCGGTAGGAAGTTTTTAAGCTGCTTGCTTAACATGATTTTTTTTTAAATACGACTCCTCGTGGTATATTTCGTTCCTGTAGATTATGGCTTACGTGGACAGCAGTAATTGAAAATGCGTACTAAAAAACATTGAACATTTTAGTCCCTTTAGAACGTTAAGCGTCACATCCAGATAATGATCAAACCAAAATGGAGGTCCTTGGGCCAAGCAAGAAACTCCATTCATTAAAATATCAAGTTTATTTATTAAGAGCAGTAGGTGATATTGGTTATGATTGTTTAATTCTCTTCTAGGTTGATCAAGGTGTATTAGAAGAATTAACAGAGGTTCATCTACCAGAGCTTCATGCAAAACTCGATGAGTTGGGCATGATGAAGATGATCTCCTTATCTTGGTTCCTGACCCTCTTCATCAGTGTGATGCCCTACGAGTGCGCTGTCAACGTCATGGATTGCTTCTTCTATGATGGTGCTAAAGTTATTTTCCAGGTTTGTAAATTACTATCGTAAGGACATTGTTTTTGATCTAGCTATGTGTTTTTTAAAGGAACTTGCTAGCTTGCACTAAACAGCTGGAAAATTACAAGTCAGACACAGAGGTAGTTTAAATTAAAAACACTATATTATTTTTACCCCAGTTTGAGATCGAATCTCAGATCTAGAACTCAGCAGGACCGAGAATTAGAATATAATTCAACTTAATTCACATATTTAAAACATTGAAATTGCTATAAAGTAATTATAATGAAGAACACCATTTAATGTTTAACATTTTCTTAGGTAACCCTCACGATACTAGACATAAACCGCGAAAAGCTCCTGAAGTGTACTGAAGACGGTCAGGCCATGCAGGTCCTGAACGATTACCTCCAAGGCATCTACAATGAGGAAGCCATGGCGCTATCAACGGAACCACGAACTGCTGAAAAGGTATAATTACTTCCAAATATTTTTAATAATTTAAGGCTATTTTACTAGTTTCTGGCATTTGTCAAGTTGTCCTTGAAAAACAAAGAGGTATGCATTGCCAAGTAGTTGTTCCTATTACTCAACCAAGTCGGACAGATGCCATCACATCGGAACGATTGTGGCGAGAACATTCAACTGGACATCATCGACTTACTGAAGACGACCGACCCGGATTACGTACCGGATTTTGTGGCTAAGGAGCTGCAGAAACTTCCTCCCATAACTTTCGACTACATTGATGTCATCAAGGAGGATATGTCTTTGAAGGTGAGATAGGAGTTGAAGTCATCTGATACCATTCTTGGTTTATTGTGAGTTGATGCAGCATTGACGTGCAAGATGGTCTGATAAATGTAAAATGTGCGTCGAGATTCAAACGTGCCTTCACCAATTGTCGCGCGTTGCTATGCCAAAATCTGCTGTTCAAGTTAAACTAAAAAAGGCAAAAATATACGCGTCAACTTGAGCACGTCCTGTAAGTAGGAGGTGGTGACCAGTAATTGCTGTTACGTTCAAAACCTGAGATGGACTGCAAAGAACAAAAAGGTCATTGGAGAAGAATTGCGACAAAGACAGCTTCATTATGGTGACGAAAAATAAGCTTATCCATCCCAACGAGTGCGGAACAGCACAAACGGAGTCCAGTAACTTGCTATATCCTATAGCAAATAATCCTATAACAAAGTATTTGTCCTGATCACTCTACTCTACGAAGATAGAACAACATAGTATATATAGTACTTGCCGGTGAAGAACAAATGAGCTTGAAGTCTTTAACATTAATTTTAAATAGTTCAGTGTGCGCGTTCCGACTTTGTATAATTATGTAATCTTCATCAAGTGCTTTCAAGACTCAAGAGACAGGCGAAAATCTTAATGTTGTTCAACGATAATGCAAGTTCTTTCGTCCTATTTACAAAGCTTTTATACCTTTACCTACTTCTTTCTGTTGTATGGAAGAGAAGTAAGACGCATGACAGCCCTATTAACTCGTCGAGTACCGGTTTTATAGACACAATTATAGAACAATAGGTTGCGGTCACCGGTGACCGCTTGGTGTTTGACAGTTTAATGATAACAATCCATAATTTAAAGCCTTTGAGATAGAACGTGTCCAATTCTTAATATATATTTTTATAATTGCGCTCTCACTAACATAGTAATTTGTGGATACTAATACCATACACTCTTCTTTTCCACAATCAAACAATAATTCTTTTCTATATTAATATTACCATATCAATATCTCTATTTCAGACTATAAAAATCCAAGAGCTGATATACCAGTCGTACAGGTCCTACGGCAGTAGTGTTTCTAACGAGAATATCGAGCACTTGCGACTGAAGCATCGTTTGAAGGTCGTCAGACAACTGGAGGACAGTCTCGAGAAGAACACGCTTCGAGCTCTGCTGCAGGACAAGTTGCTCGAGTTGAATGAGTTGCAGGCAAGTTATCATTTTTATAACTATCGTGAGACATACTGAATTAACTATAAATAACAAGTTACGTAAATATACTGAGAAAAGCTCTACTAGTTTCGAGTGACAGAGGGGGGGATTATATAACAATACAATTTAATTCATTTTGTTCAAAGAGGTAGTTTTGAGAAAAACATAAACCACATAATGGATGGTGGTTTAGTATATTTTGGAAATCCAAAGTAGAGTTTCTTATGCCTAACTCTAACTTTTTCATATCATACCATCACATCACGCCTTTTATCCCCGAAAGGATAGGCAGAGATGCACATTACGGCACTTAATGCCACTGTACAATGTTCTGAACACCCACTTTTCACTATTTATGTTATAATCCCCATATAATAGGGGGTGAACCTATTGCCATATACAGGGCACATTTCCAAAAACCCAGTAATACTTTGCCCGACTCGGGAATCGAACCCGAAACGATAGCAGGCACTTGCGACCACTCGGCCAATGAGGCAGTCCACATTTTTAACTCTTTTATAAAACCCAAGAATTAATACTTTTAGCAGATATAGACATGATATAACAATTTTAAAATATTGTAACTAGAAACGTAGTCTTTATCTAGTCAATTATGATTTTTTCTATATTATATTTTCTAGGAATTACTAAGCGCTATCCGCGAAGAGTTACTCTGGGCCAAACGCGTACCTTGCGAGCGGTTGGAAGCTCCCTACGAGTCCTACCGACTAGATTACACCCAGTTCAAGACTTTATTCTGTGCACTGTCGCCCTGGGCCAAAGGGGACTTTGCTGAGGCTATCACCGCGAGAATGTTTAAGGTAAGTAATCACATAAGCAAAATATATGTATATTGCTTTTTGGGATTTTGAAAATATTCCATACATAAATTGTTATAAATGATAGATTCATCTTTTTTAACTGAAATATGTCGAATTAAAATGTCCTATCTTGGTCAAATGTACCTTCACAATTATTCAACCCTTTGCTTTAAAAATCAAGGAGAGACATGTTTTTCTAATAACATCAAAGTGTGAAATCACCTTCGTAGAGACGTTATGAAGATTTTAAACTTATAATTGTTGTCATTTTTAAATATGTGATTATATTACAGTTGATGGACTACGACGACGACGGGATAGTAAGCGCGCGCGGTCTGAGCGTGGCGCTAGGGCTGTCGGTCCGCGCGGAGGCGGCGCGGCGCCTGCGCGCGCTGTACGCCGCGCACGCGCCGCCCCTACTGCCGCGCCGGGACCTCATGCCCACGCACTTCACCGACACGGGAGAGGAACTCGCTGCCGACGCTATATCGTTCTTTGATAGGTAACTTTATCCATACTTCATAAACTTTGGGAATCACTTAAACGTTGCAGGTGCTTCTAAAAAATTCTTGTTACAATTTAGGTCTAGCCCAAACCTAGAAGGAAATTGAAAATGTATTTTTTTAACAAAGAAAAGAAAGAAACGAAAACAAAATTCTTTTTTATTATCTAACAAACGTTGCCACACTAGGATTTTCTTCTGTCTCGTGGGTGCGTTCACAAACATTCAAGTTCATATACATATGACACCCAGACCCGGAACAACAATCTGGGGATCACACAAAGAGTTGTTCCGTGCGGGAATCAAATCCGCGATACGTTGAACCCGACAGCCAGTTGCCCAGCAGTCGCGCCAACCGTGTAGCCAATTTTATTTGTTAATTGTACATTAACACATAATATTCTATGTTATATTATAATAATAGTAGCATTGTAACATACCTATAAGGTGTGCAATAGCTTATAGGTATGTTGTTATAGGTTATTCTACTTGAATATTTTAAACGTGATCTTTAGTCGCAAAATATTACAAGAAATTTATAATTATGGAGTATTTACGAGTTTAATGATATCAAAAAATTTGAAAATGCCTATGTTTTTATAATAACTATCGTGAGACATACGAAATTAACTAAAATCGCGGGTTACTCACGTGAATATACTGAGAAAAGCTCTACTAGTTTCGAACTACAGAGGGGTTCTTCCTCATGAGCAGCGTGCGCGGTCGCGGCGATGACAGTAGGCTGCGCGACCCCTCTGTGTATTCACGTGAGTAACCCGCGATATTAGTTAATAGAAAAAAAACCTCTTTCTAAAAAAAAATATAGTGTCTCAATAATGTGTTGTGTATTATCCTTACAGTGGTGATGACGAGGTGATACCTGAACCAGGTCCACTGCAGCGCTCCATAAGCGAAGTATGTGGCGATGGCACTCCGATGGACAAGAGTGACTCGGAAACCAGCCAAATAGGTAAGCGAAGTGAGAATGTTAATTTTATATTTTGGCATTACATCCTTTTTTCATCTACTTTCAAGAAATTTTGGTACAATTGTGTTGTGTTGTATTTTTTTTACTACAACTTTTACAAGCTACGTTTGATCGTATTTTTTGTCGTAGATTTTCTACTTTAAGATGCAATGAAGAGATAAAAACTTGTTATATAAACAAATCAAAGTTACTTGAATGCCTCATTGGCCGAGTGGTCGCAAGGGCGACAACTGAGCAAGGGGTCTCGGGAAAAGTATTACTGCTTTTTTTAAAAGAAAATTCACAGTAGTAGCACGGAATCTGGAATTGTGCCCGGTGTATGGCAATAAGCTCACTCCCTATCACATGGGACTCATAACATAAACAGTGAAAAGTCGGTATTACATTGTACAGTGGCATTAAGTACCGTAGTGTGCACGTCTGTCTACCCCCTTCGGGATAAGAGACGTGATGTTATGTTATGTCAAAATATGTTGCAGAGAAGTAACTTGTGCCTTTAGCCAAACGCCACTTTAGCGCTTGTCTACAGCGATAGTAGAAAACTAAATATATGGGGATGACACTGAGAAGTGTCAAAATTTACGTCAATTCCATATAATTTAGTTTTCTACTCTATAAGTAGACAAGCGCTAAATGGCATTTGGCTACAGCTCCTGACGTGCTATGGCTTTAATATCGATATTCATTGTTCAGGCCCAACATACTTCACCGTTGAGAGCGTCCGCGCCTGTGGACTGGCGGGGCTGGCCAGCGGGGCCAGTACCCCGGGCGCGGGGGGTGCGGGGGCCGCGGGGGGTGCGGGGGGCGGCGCTCCCCCCCTCCCCCGCGACCACTTCCTGCAGCTGCTGGCAGTGCTACACGACCTCACGCAGTCGCGGCCACAGGTCTACGAGGCCGTCGTACTCGCTGGTACGTATATCTTCAATACTTGTATAACCATGGATGGCTATATAGGCTATTCTGTAATTTTTGAATCAGAAGATCGAAGTGAACTCGGTCGCGGTCCGCCATGTCATTGGTTATGAAAATAATGTCGACCAATGACGGGCGAAAATGCGATCAAATTCACTTCGAAAGTTGTAATTGACAGTTGGGTACTTGCCTTAATAAAAAATAAATTATGTCGACTGTTCAATACAATAAAATGGTAAAAAAAACCACTTTCAATAATTCATTTTTTAACTAACTTAATTCTAGTATTTTTCCAGCAAATTTTTAAGAAATAAATATGCTGTTTGACGTCAAAAAAACGTGACATCACAATACACAATCTCGTACAATATTCATAGAAAACTCTCGTTTTGACAGTTCGACAAAAGTATTGAATTTGACTACCTGGCAAGTACCCAGTTAATAGCCTAGCAGCCCTTGAGAGTCACTAGAGTCCGCTAGACCATACCTCTAAAAGAGACGTTTGCCAAAATCTCAACCCTTGACTAGCTGGTTAGAAATCGCAGTTCAAAAGTCTAGATTTATCAGGGTGCTGCTGCCTAGTCCATCTGGCATTCCCTGATAAACCTGAACCTTTTAAACTAATATGTCCGACTCGCCTTTGGGGGGGGGGGTCATCATCCAATGACTTTTATGACTTTTCCTCACTTGGGTGAGGCGAGAGTGAGTATCAGACTCTTATGGATTAAAAATCAACGTTTCTACTTCTGCACTTCGAGCCGGAGCCCCGGCAACCCGTTAAGGCCTCCGCGGCTCCGCATCGACATCAGCCCTATTGGGCCCCATCTGTGATGTCTCTCCGACGAAGCGTGGAGTCTGGTTCTTATTAGATACAAACTGGGTTTTCTATAGAAAACCCAGTTTGTATCTAATAAGAACCATAGTTCACCAATAAACTGTCATGGGCTGTTGAAATGATGAATAGTTAATACACCATTAATATTTAGTTTAAAATGTATTCTTATTATGTGTTCTAGGTACTCTCCTCCTACAACTGGGTGAGCTGAATCACCGTCCGCAACTGGACCGCGAGATGTCACAAGACAGCTTGTTCCTGGCTGCGGCCGCTAAGCAACCAGAAGTGCAGGTAATTAAAACATTGTTAGGTTGTCTATTTCGTACGCATTTATTTTACTTATTACGTAAAGCTGAAGAGACAAACAAACAAACAAAGATGTTTGTTTGTTTGAACGCACTAAGCTCAGGAACTACTGGCCCGATTTGAAAAATATTTTTTGTGTTGGATAGCCCATTTATCGAGGAAAGTTAAGATATAAAACATTACGCTTCGATCAGTAGGCGCCGAGCAGAGCCGGTGAAATCATGCGGGACTTGCGGGAGTAACTAGTATTGGATATTCTGGTCTTAAATTGTGACCCGCATATGCACCTCTACCTACCCCTTTGGGGATAAAAGGCGTGATGTTATATTATGTTGTGCCATGCATTTGTTAGGATGTTAGATGGCCGATCAATAAAATATTTTATTTAAAATAAAGTTATGCTCGCTTCTTATTTCAGGAGCCTCAGCATAACTGGATTTTTATTAGAATCGTGCCATAATATGTATGAAATAACAATATATTTACAAAGAAGTAGTATTTCAATTACAAATTTAATTCCAGTTGGATCCCAACGGCAACACAACGGAACCGGAGCCAGAAATCAGAAAGCCATCCCCGTCTCCTTCCAAAGAGACCGAACCAGAAGGAGTCTGGTCTATCACATTAGAACAGTTCCTAGCCACCATGCTATCTCAACCAGCTCTTGAGGAGTTCTTCAATGAGAAGGTGTCTATATTACCAGAGTTGGAACTGCTTAGGCAAAGGGATAGACTGCAGTCGATGTCATAGCTGATGGAAATAGCCGGGTTGCTTGGCATAAGTCTTTAGTTCCAGGCACCCCTGCTTTAAAAGGTATATCGTATGATCATGGGATTTATATTTATGTATGTGTTAAATAATGCCTGTTGTTTTATAGTCATTTGAAATTGGGAAATACCTATGATGAGTCTTGAATTATAATATAATAATCATTTATTTAAGACATCAACTCCGCTGTGTTTGTAACAGAATAAATAAAATGAAACATCTTAACAAAAATGTATGTTCATAACCACACTAAACAGACAAAAACAATATAGAAAACAAATACACACAAAGACAATAGACATACAATATGTTAGAACTAAACAGGCATACTAAAGTACTCTCAGTGGTATTTGCACTGATATGCCTGTCGCAGCAACTCCTAACTATAAGACAATCATGTCTCTGCGCTATCATCGCCTCGACAGTGTTGGAACTAGCGCGTACTCTGTGTGGTGCGCCGGCTCGATAATTATACCTACCATACACACGCCAGCTTATCAAGTTACCTCAAACTGGAGAATATCTTAGATTTTGAACTTTGTTACAGAATTATAAAGTTGGAAATGGATTAGCAAAGCAAATAACTGTTTGTAGTAGCTTGATGTACTGGCTGTTCATAAAGTCAAAGCATTCATTTCAACTAAATCATAAATAGGTACTTTTTTCGACAACAAATAAAGAAATAAATATAATGGTTTGTATAATGCAGACATATTTGGTATATTTTTTAAATATAAAGACACACGTCCCTAAAAACAAACCAGCAGGGTTTATCTATATTAGAATGTTTTTGGTAAATACAAATGTTATTTATATATTTTTTAAATGAAGCAGGCATTGTTTAACGTTGCATAGAGTTCAACGAAAAAAGTTCAGTCATATTGAAAAAACCGATATGGAAAATCAGTAAAGTCAAAATTATTTTCAGTAATATTCGGTGGTACTTAAGAAAGAGTTACGATTTTGTCTAAATAGCAACTTTACAAATTTTAATCATAACTAATCAGTGCCTTTAGCCAAACGCCATTTTAGCGCTTGTCTTCAGAGAGAGTAGAAAACTAAATGTATGGGGATGACACTGACAAGTGTCAAAATTTACGTCAATTCCATATAATTTGGTTTCTAAATGGCATTTGGCTACAGCTGCAGTATATTTAATTGCATCATGTCATTTTGATGCAATCATCACGAAGATGACCTTCCAAAAAGAAATTAGTGATGCATTACATGTATGCACCTTTGCTATGTACCACGGCTACATAATCTCGCTTGTTTCTATGTAAACATTGTATATAACGCTTAGTTATAAGTGTAGATACCGCAAAAAACTAACGAACGAAAAAAATAAAAATATAAATCGAAATATAAATAAAACTCTTTGTAAAAGTCTAGTTACTTCCAAAGACCAATCTAGATTATTATAAATGCTTGTATCCTTAAACTACGATCGATGTAAAAAGCCTTGTCGGCCATTTTAAAATGTAATTGCAATAAGAATTTGATAATCGGTTTTAGACTTTGATTAAAGCATGCGTTTACCTGTGACTTTAGATTAGAACAACTAGATCCTGGAGTTTCGATAGTCATAACGACAACAAAACTCCTTTACGTCACGTAGTTGGCTAAAAAATCAGTCAATTCGATGTCAAACTTTATTTGATTTTCAACCTTAGCCTTTTGTAATAAAGTTGAAAATCTTTTAATGACATTGACAACTTAGCGACCAACCTTAACAATTTCTATACTGCAAGACCCGGTCGTAATGTCAAGAGAAATTTTAAACTATGTAGAACAATAGTATTGTTGATAAAATGCTTGTTTATTAACCATTATAATAGGTATTCGTGATGTTCAGTAAACATTCCATATTATAAATATTCTGATAATAATATTATCAGTTCACTGAGGAAATGGTTCAAAATATTATTTGTTTGTGTAAACATTGGTACTTACTTGCATTTGGTTCCTTTTCTTGATAGCAAAAATTTACGAATTATAATTTATTGTTAACATCTATTTTTAATGTGAAGACGTGTTATGTACGCTACTTCGTGTTTGTATGCTGTATGGACCTACGATTTAACAATACAGTTCGATTGTACAGTTAGAACGGATGGTGTGTAGCGTCTATTAAGCTTAAAAATATTAAATTTCATTATGGTGTAGTAGACTACTTTTTACAAAAAAAACTTTTTGCTTTCGGAAAATCAACCAAAAATGATAGATAATAAAGTCCACGCGAATAATCAGTCGCTTGTATATTTCTTTTGTCTCCCATTCCTCGGTAGCTGTACCTATTTAGTATATTTTAATATAATACACATAGCCATATTATTTTTAAGTTAGTCTAACCTAATCTAGTAACTAAACCTATGTACCTAATCTATGCTATGTATTTACAGATTTCAATAAATATAAAAATCTAGATTTAGTACAAAATTAGCATTTCTTTATAGTATAATATAGCAACTACTAATATAATATTATGTAATCTTGTTTTCTTTTTCATTTATTATACAGAATGTTATAGAATTCGTGAGTGATGTTTTAAACTATAGTTATTTGCTAATGATGTTAACTTATTGAAGGCTACTGCTACGCTAATCGAAAATGGTATTAATGCAAGTATGGATAACGTTTATTATGGAACCACTTCTTTCTACTGACGTGTGCATCTTGATAGTGCCTGCCGTATGTTACTAATGTCGATAAATTCTAAACATTTATATTTATAACTTCCTTATCCGCTTATACCAAACTCTCCTAAATTTTAACCGCCAACTTATAAGTGACACATGACAATAAAGGGTTAGTTCAGGTGCTCCCCCACGTTAAGTAACTCTTTAGAAGGGATTTGTGAAAACATCTAGGTATAATAATTATCATAAGTAATCGTAGTTTAAATCATCACAAACGATTTCAACAACACTGTACGTAGCTTCGCTTCCAAATAAATTATTTTTAACCGCTTTTAAAGCAATATACTTTCAGACGTGTTACATTTACAATAAGGTTTAAAATTAAATGTATGTGTATATAAACAGTGCCTATGTAGTAGACAGGTGTACTGTGCTTAGCAGGTTAAAGTGCTTGAATATATCGGGTTTTAAGAAAATTGTATACTTTATACTTGTTCCCATCGCATAACCAAACTTGTTCATACAAATGTAGTCTCTATATATTGGAGATAAGGTCTATAATGGAGTTGGTAAGAGAGGACTTCGGTGTCCTTTGGGCTAATTAGAAGTATGTGTTGGATATAACTACATTCATAGAGGTATTGTATATAGAACTGGAAAGCCAATCTATCCTATGCTTTAGTTAAAATGGGGGGGTAATCTTCCCTCTCTATCCCTCTTTTCGGTGTGAAAAAGGACGCATAATAAAACGATTCGACGTTTTGATATGCTGTTCTTTAATGCCGCAATCCAATTTTATTTTATCTTTCTCACTGTAAGATGTTTTCGCTTATTCTATCTCATAACGGTAAAATGGGGTGAATAGAATTCGAGAGGTGAATAGATACAGAGAGTGTGAGTGTGAATAAATATTGAGGACATTTTATCAATATTTATTCACACCTCTTCTGTATGTATTCACTCCTATTCACTCCGTTTTACGGTACGGTAATAGTGACTGCACGGTTGGCGCACGGATACGACGGATACTGCACGGTTGGCGCACGGATACGTACGCGATACGTACGTACGGATACGTGTGCGGTGGCTGGGCAACCGGCTACCGCGCAACGTGTAGCGGGTATTGATTCCAGCACGGAGCAACTCTTTGTGTGATCCACAAATTGTTGTTCCGGGTCTGGGTGTCCTGTGTATGTCAACTTGTATGTTTGTTAACACACCCACGACACAGGACAAAATCCTAGTATGGGGCAACGTTGTGTTAAAAAAATACCTCTATGTATGAATTTCCTCGCTATATACTGAAGTATAAATAATACCCAAAGTATAAAAAATAATCATATTAAACTAGATTAACAGATTGCTTACAAAGTATAATGGCTTTATTAAAACAAACACTTTAACAAAAAGATACAATTAGATATATTTTTCTCAAGTAAATTTTGGCGCTGAGACGCTTGTAACAAATTTTTAAAATAAGCTGTTCGTGAATAATGTAAGATACTTGATATTAAACTTGATGTCCGTTTTCACTAAACCCTAATCTAAGATAGGAGACACTTAGCGGCATTTTGGCTTTAGACACCTAATGTATGGAGTTAGTTTACCTAAATAACTCTTAGATAAGAGTTTAGGGTGGTTAGTGGAAAAGGTCATTAAACCAGCGCAGGCCCCTATCATGGCATTTAAACATTAGTCGAACGAATTAATAGTAAGTTTGACACTAGCATTCGAAAAATTACATCAAAAATATGTCAAGTACTTGCAATCGACAAGATTGGCGCCTTGGCGGTCGACCATCATTCATTAGGCGATATTTGCATGCACTCGGCGCGACCGACCACAGGGAAAAGTTTGCCTCAGGATTTTGTTTAAATAGTGTACTAGCGAATAAATTGCCATTTGTACATTGACTTCTATTTACTCGTTCGACTACCGTTTAAATACCTAGAGGCCTGATTATACATAGAAATATAGCTATACATTATATACTAAATAAGCAATATCGTCATAAACGTGTATATTAATCATATTTATTTTTGTAATCACGATATTTTATTCATAATAGTACTATTGTGAATGAATTAACGAATTTTTGGGTACAATTTATAGAAGCTTTTAGGTACAGTCGATTGCAGGAGCCGTCCTTGACACTTTGATTTTTGGATCCTCAATTTTTTTTAATACTCTTCTGTGTAAGACTGTACAGCTAAATGTTTGACAATACAATGTTGTAAACACAATGTTTAGCCCTCTGCTTCGCTTGATCTATCCAGGATTTGAGATTTTTCTAGAAAGCTGTGCTATTTTATATTATTTCATAACTCTCTGTTATAAGCTGAAGCACAAAATGCTATATTATAGTATGTATATTTTAATTTGTAAGTTCCCTATGTCCATGTAAGTAGCGATATATGATTTATAATTCTTCATTGAATACACTTGTTTGACGTTATAAATTGTTTTTATTTCAAAATACCAATTTCTATCGTAATTAAGGAATGTAATAAAATAAATGCATTGGTGGGTTTATTATTATATTTTCGGGTTACTCATGTAACTGTTTGACGAGGAACTCGACTAGTTTCAAGCCATGCTAGAGGCTCATATTCATGAGCAGCATTCTGCAACTCGCGACGCGGCGACTGTTGCGCTGCTACTGTAGACTTACGTGAGCAAGCCGAAAACATAATAATTAATTAAGTATATCTCACGAAACTTTTAATATTAATATTGGGAGGAATATCACTATAAAAATAGACCTAACCATGAACTGTTAACCTCTTTAATGTCGGTTTATGAGACACTATAGAAAAAATATTGTCTCGCGTAGATCTGAGCTCCGGCACATCACGGGTTAAATAAAAACACAGTGTTTCTTTTATAAACCTAATTTTATTATTCTGTATAAAAATTAACCCATCCTCTAATTGCATTGTACAGTACATATTTTAACTTCCTTGTTTAAAAAATTGTACAGACTTAGGGCTCGTACACAAAACTGCTATGCGATGCGATTTCGTGCGACAAGGCGTCTCCGAGGGTGCTCATTTCTTCGACGACTGTTAACCGCACTAAACGTATTTTAAATTGAAAGCTAGGTGTTGACATGGATCGTAAAAAGAAGTGTGCACTGTTATTGCTTAGGAGATACAGAAAAAAGAAACAAAGATTTTGGGAAGATAAAAATTTGATGCGCGATGCGAATCAATTCGCAAGTCCTTGCGATGCGTAGAGGGACCTCGCACATTTTTGCGATGCGATGTCGCAGCGCAGTTTTGTGTACGAACATAACAGATTCACTTTGTACTTATTTACTTCCATTATACATTCTGATATAATTATTAATGCCATAAGTCTTGAACAAAATTATCTAGAATCTCATAGAATGTAAATAATAATAATTGCATTTAATTATTATTGAACTTGTGGCATTGATTCCAAGTACATACGATTACCATTTTGGTTTCTTTAAGTTTCAACTACCAAAAAGTCAATGAGAAACGTATTTTATATACACAAATACAGCATCAATTTACTTCAAAGTAAACTTTAAAGTCCAAGCTACTTTCGAGCGCACAGTCGCCTTATCGGGCAGTTGTATAGCGACCTTCCCGTTACTTATCTTCCACTGAAACAAATAAACAATTGATAAGAGAAAAACTCATTAAATTCTCATTACGGTAACTCCTTACTAAGTACATAATGCATTTTTGGATACCACAAAATAAATATAATCAAATATGACTGATTCCTGGCTCGGGCGAAGACTTAGTCAGTTAATGGGGCCTTTGTCTTTCGAAAATTCCCTAATACAGTTTGGAATCGTGCAGATATCAACAACAGGCAATCAGCAACAGATACTTTGACTGCACGGTTGGTGCGGTGGCTGGATAACTGGCTGCCATACGGAACAACTCTTTGTGTGATCCACAGATTCATGTGTATTTGAACTTGTATGTTTGTAAACGGACCCACACAAGAAAATCCTAGTGTGGGGTTTATAAAAAAAAGATATATGGTATTCTCATAACTGGTGAATAGTGGGTGTTCTCTAAGTTCCCTTTAGAGATGAATGAATGATGGCGTTATAGGTACATTTTTTTATATAGGCTATTAGCTAGTCCCGCGCCTTTTACCTCTCTGTTCGGCCTATATTGATCGTAACATGATGTTTTATAGCCTTCCTTGATAAATACATCCATTACAAAAACCATTTCTTATCTAAATTTGTATTGTATTAATGTATATTTTAGTATTGGCCAAGATGTTTGAGACAAATAAATAAATAAAAAGAATTATTCAATTCGGTCGAGTAATTTCGGAGATTAGTAGCGCGTTCAAACAAACTAACCTTTAGCTTTATATGATAAAGAAAGAGCATAAGATAAACACTTACAGTCAAGTACACTCCTTTGTTGCCCAACAACTCCACTTGATACGTCCCTCGGTGCAAATAACTTGTAATATCGCCAAGAGTTAACCAATTGTCCTTAGGCCATTCAAGCGCGATAGCATAGATTGCAAGAATTTTATCATTAGCACTAGGCGGATAAGTGGGGTGAGTAGCATTATAATTTTCTTTGGTACAAGTGTACCATACTTTGCCATTCACCGTGTCGTTTTGGGAGAACCATGGTGAGCTGTCATATATCGCTTCTCCATTGATAGCCAGCCACTTTCCAAGGAATAAAAGTCGTTCTTGAAATACTGGTATTATTGTCCCTTCCTTAGTGGGACCCACATTGATAAGGGCGTTCCCTGTAATGATAATACATTTGTTGCATATTTTTCAAGTAGGTACTTTCAATACAAGTACAAGTTACCTTTCTATTGCTTTAGTGCAAATGAGCCGGGTTGAGCAATCATCATTATCTCACAGAAAATGGTTCTTGTCTTGCGTTATGTTTCGCTGTCAGGTTACTAGAGGCCGAATCCCTTCTCTCATAAGGCTTAAATTTGCACTTGTTATTCTTCTGGTGTTACGCTTCTTTATGGGCGGCGACGATTGCTTACCATCGGGTGATCAGTCTACTAGTTTGCTTTCTTATCCCCTAAGAAAGCATAAAGTTATTGTGATAAAGGTTACCTCCACAACTGACTGTTGATACCACTTGGAACAGAAGCTGTGAATCTGACATTATTTCACCGATTTTCATATTTCTTCTGTATCCCCATGATACTTTATCAACTGTAAAAGCATTTTCCCATTTATGGTCGAGTAGTTTACCTAAAAAAACGAAATTTAGTTAAAGGTGTGTTTGACTATGTTTCTTTAACCAGACATTGTGAAACCAGGCCCTAAAATACTACAATAACTATGCAGTTTAATAAATGTTAGACAAAAATAATTGTAGGTTCATACCAAAATTTTGTATACAAAATTAGACACCTTATAAAAATAAAAATAAATATCTTTTATATAAATTCACTAACCAGGATTGAATCTATCAGCATGATTAAAGAAGTCTCCATGATGTCCAGGGATATCTTTACCCCATCTATCATTTACTACAACTTCTTCTCTAACTGGACTATTGTTGTACAGCCAAGCCAAAAGGTCTGTAGACCTCCAGTAATCATCAGGAGCTTCCCAATCACCATCAGACCAAATCACTGATGGCTTATAATCATGGATAATTTGTTTTAAATCAGGCCACAACTTTGTGTCTACAAATGTGTGTGTCTCAAATGATGCATTTTTATCCTGTAGGTAGATTGGGTTGAACCATTCATACAAAGAATGATATACACCAAACTTTAGACCCCTCTTTCTTACAGCAGCCGATAGCTCGCCCACCAAGTCTCGTTTTGGCCCCACATCAACTGCATTCCAACTAAAAGAACGCTTTGATGGGAACAAGGTGAAACCTTCATGATGTTTGCTAGTTAAGACAAGGTACCTGAAAATGACAAATACCAAATGTTTTTAGAATCCTTAATTTATGCAATTGAAAATTTTATGTTCATTCAAAAATTAATTTTACTTCGCTCCAGCTTCCGCAAATAATTGTGCCCATGCTGCAGGGTCGAAAAATTCTGCCGTAAACATGGGAGCAAATTGCTGATACGTAAAATTTGGTGGATAATTTTTATCCATGAAGTCAACGTATTTTGTCACATCTAGAAAATAAATAAAGAATACATAAATTAATTTAATATCAACACTTATGTAGATAAATATCTGTTATTTTGGTTTAATAATAAATAGATCTACGTACTAGTTTTCCAGTTCATCCAAAACCATTCCGACCCGAAACTAGGTACGGCATACACCCCCCAATGGAGGAATATGCCTATCTTAGCTCTATCATACCACTCGGGTAGCGGCCGTTTATCCAAATCCCTCCAATTCGGTCGATATCCCTTTCCATCATTGAAACCCGTATCCAGAACATTATTTTCCGATTTCAATACACTAATTTCTCGTATCTTAGCATATGCTAAGCAGATAAGTATTGAAAATATTAGCAATCTCATAATTCTGTAAGAAACACAAAAATGTTGTGATTTTCAGCCTAATAAAAACAATACAATAATAAAATAGCCGGTCGGCTTGACCACAGAGCATGTAATTATAAGAGGCGGATCTTAGTACATTCAATTTTTTGAGAGTTCGTAACGGCGCTTAGCCAACCACACAATGCTACCAACATTACCAATGACAGTGACAACCATGACCTTGAAAAGAGTAACTGTCACGAATAAGGATGGGCAACGTATCGATATTCAGATTTCAT